TAAAACCAACATAGTAAATCAAATTTTAATTGCCTATTGCAGGTTATTGGTTTTAACAAAATTGGTTTTGAGAAGGCTAACAGTATTTTTATTTTCGTTCCTGGTTTCTAGCGCAACTGCATTGCGCAGCTACCTTATTTATATAGTATAGGAATGGAGGCTTTAACCACCATAAGATTTTGTTTGATGTTTATCGTTTGTTTATTTCCGAATTTGCTCAAGCAAATGCATTTTAATTTGATGGATCGTATTTTTGTGTATTCCCGTGAGCGCCACTTTTCCTTTTTAAACTAAAAAGGAAATTGCTTATACCCAACCATTTTATATTTACGTACGTACGTACGTACAGTACGTACAGTACTTGTACTTGCTCTTGAACTATATAGATACGTACGTACGTACGTGCATTACGCACATACCAGTTCTAGTGCAGTTCCATCCATGCTGTATTTATAGTTTTTTGCTGAGGCTGCTCTTCTTTTAGTTGGTGACCAATATTGATCTCAGTTTAGTCAACTTAAATCGAGTTTTGTTGTTTCATATCAAAGCTTACTTCAATAATAGAATATAGAACTTAAGGGAATCATGGTACAAAAAAAAATTTGCTGACCAATTTATAGTTATTATTAACAAATCGAAAGACTCATTAGAGCACAACATTTCGGCTCGAACTTTTTGAATTCTTAACTTTAATAAAATTGGTTTATTGATGATATGCTTTGGTTAATTATAATCCTCTTATTTGGATTTATGACATTTTGTTCTTCTTTAAATTCATATCAATTACTACAATTTTTGGATCGAACCGGAGTAATAAAATGTTTCGTGTTATGCCGATTGCACATAATTTCTGATGAAAGGTAGGCCTGACTTTACTAACATATAATAATTGCACGAATTTACAAACTGATTGGCTTAGAACAATATAGTGTATAAAATGTTTTTATGAAAATCTTTACCACTTTGCAATAAATAACAATAAACAAGACTAATCATATTCTTTTTTGGTAAAAAAGCTAATGATCAGTGATGTTTTGCAAATAATCTTATACTTAAGTGGGTTAAATATATTTTACATGATCGTTTTGTGAAAAAGATCTAAGATATTCTGGTGATCCTTTAAAAGATTTTCTTTATTAATCTTTATCCAGATTAGATTTGGAATTCGTACTTTATCGAATAAATTATAAACTTGACAGTTTTGGTACGGATAGAATAACGATAATATTTCATTTATATGTATCTATGTAGTACAATCTATCTCCCCTTAGGGATACCAATCACATAGCGTGAGTCAACGTATCTCTCAGCATTGTCATCATCTTCAAAAGTAAGCAAATATTGTGAAGATTTTGGTGTTAATTGACTTGGCGGAATAACTACAACAGCTTTATAAAAACATGTTGTAGAGGGATATAATGCTATGATTGTTGGATTTTTTGGAAATTCCGGTGTTCGCATTTCTCCAGGATTTGGGATTGCTATAACATTTTTCGCTGGTACTAAAAATCGTCTGTATTAACAAAGGATAAGTACATGAGAATGAAGAGTAGGAAATGTGGAAATGTTTGAGCTGTGAACAAAGGATGGCAATCAAATTAGAGAATGACCTTTCTGATGTCTCTTCATCTTCATCCGCATCTTCGACTTCGTAACTTAATTATTTTAGGTTAATTATTAGAATTAGTGCGTATTGGAAAATTGTGGAATGTTATACGAAATTTTTGTTACCTCTTTAAATCAGTTCGATATCCTACAACTGTGGCCAAAATCCAATTTTCTTCCATGTCCTTATATTTTGGCAGTTTTGCTGCGACCTATCAAACACATAAACAAGCATGTCACAAACATTGTTCAAAATTCAACGATCTCAGTATTCTGAGGTCGCTTAAAAATTTATATGAACTTGAATTATTGAAAAATGGTCTCTATTTGAGAATATTTAACAAAGTTTTTAATATTAAAAAAAATTATCTTTCTAATATTGCGAACATTAAAAATTTTTTGAAAACATTAAGATTTCAAAAAAATGCTTTTTAAGAACATAAAATCAAATTTAAATTTTAAACACCGTCACAAAACTAAATGTACTAATAATAAAAATCCATAAAAAAAACAAAACTTACCGATGTTCCATTTTTAATAATAACACTACTTTCCATTTGCGATCTAATGATATCAAAAGTTCAATGGCGTAGTGAATTGCCATATTAGAATTAGCGTGAATTCTATCATGATTCACTGTTACTGCACTTACCTCCTATAATGACATGGTTATTATATTGAAATTACATTGTACTGGAATTAGAGTAATATTATGATTTTCTGTAAAAAAAAAAAAAAAAAAACTTATATTGCCATACTTACTTCCTATGGTAACATACAATATGGAGTTTGTTATAATTATGATTATCGTATTAGAACTGGCGTGATTTCGTGATTTGCTGTAAAAACTTCTGTTGCTATACTTACTTCATATGGTAACATACAGTATGTAGTTTGTTATAATTGTGGTTATTTTATTGGAATTTGCGCAGCTCCTATCGTTATTTATTGTAACAAAAAATTCTGTTACTGTACTCACGGGCTGCAGTAACACGCAGTATGAAGTTTATTAGAATTATGGTTATCGTATTGGAATTTAAGCGATTCCTAGCGTAAAGAACTATCTGTTGTTGTACATACTGATATACTCTATAATGGTGCACAATATGTAGTACCAGGAACGGAGTTTCACAGAAGTGAAACGAAGAGTATGATTTATAGCCATGTTCGATGGTGTACAGTAAGCGCCAAAAATTTAGGACGGTTACACAAAAATCAGCAAAATTTTATGCAAAAAAAAAATATAATAATAAAAATTATGTAATAAAAGGCTGACTTGTATATTTGTAAATTTTGTTAAACTTTTGGACTTTTGGAGAACGTAACGTTTCACTAACAAAAAAATCGTCTTGAAAACCGTTCCGAGTTCTAAACGACGTTTATATTTACTGTTAATTTGAGGGACTTTACTTATAAGACAAAATGCCTATTACTGGACCGTGTGAAATTGCTGCATGCAAAAAAGAATCATCAACTCGTTGGAAAAAAGTAACTGAATATGTTATGTTGAAAGGACAAACTAACTATACTTTACCTCCTCTTCAAATAGGTGCTGTGATTTATTTAAGTTGTTACAATACTTACCAATTATTGTGGTGACATACAGTTTGTTGTTAGTGAAGACCATCCAATTTATCCGTGTAACATGAAACTGTATAAAGATTAAATGGGTTGTGATCAGCAGTGCATTTTCCTTCGCTTCCCGACTTGAATCTGGCTCTTCGTGTATGGTCCCGACCATTGCCCGCCCTAAGAATTTGTTGAGAGAGAAAAAGGTGAACAAGCGAGCATTTATTTATTAATAAAGATACACAGTTAAAAAATCAACAAAAATGGGAATTCTAAGATCTTTACGCTGTAACTATTATCAGATGGAATTAGAATAACAAAAGACAAGCCAACAATCGGCATCAAAGGGGCTCGTGGTCTTGGATCTTTCTCCGCAAAAAAAAAAAGGAATTTAAAACATGAATACTTAACTTGCTTCGCGATTCTCGTGATAAGAAATAAGTGAAAATGTGAGTTTCCTGAGACTTGTTGATATCGATATCACGTGGTGACTAATTAGGAAAATGTGAAAACTGTAGTCTTGCTCCGTGATTTTGATATGAAAAAAAACAATGATATGGTTTCGAGTGGAAGTCGACAAATATTGCTGCATGATTCGATCTGTTCATAGAGAATCGACGTTCATGATTTATAAAGAACTCGTGATTGATAAAATGTTGTGAATAAAGATTGTGCAATACACTCTACCCTCGTTATAACGGACCTCGTTGAACCGGATCCCTTATTATAACGGATAAGTTTGTCAGAACCAAATTTTAGATAATAAATTTCCCTCGATATTACGGATATTTATAATATATCTGCATATAGCGGATGCGGATTAACTTGTATTTATTCAATATATACCATTTAAATTACTATACCGGATATGATATCTGATTGGCTATTGAGTAAGCATGATTAGTTGCACGTGATTTTGCGGTCCTATGGGACTGCGCATATGGGCTGATTTTAGCTGATCTACGTGATATAAGAATGTGATATCTCAATGGTTACACTAATCTGATAACAACGTAATCAATGCAGGAGGATCACCCTGTTGAATGACGGGGCGAGAGATTATATCCATAACATACATTTTAGAGTAAACATAAAATAAATAATTTTATTATTGATTGACTACATCGTGTGAAGGATTAGCGTGTAACATTAACGGTTTCTCCTGTTTAATCAATGTCGTCCAAACCTTTTTGTTGTCTCTTATGCTCTAAAACTTATTCGACAG